TTGCAGCTTCATGAAAACAAGCCTTCACGAAGATGGTGTTCTTCAAATGGGTTTGAATCACCAAAATTCCTAGGCAGCATGATCAAGCTGGCTGGGGAATTCTGGGAGTTGAAGTCCACCCATCTTAAAGTTGCCAAGCTTGAGAAACATGGCTCTAACCTATCTGAAATCAGGTTCGCTAAAGCTGATGTAAATTTTGCAAGAGGTCTTGAGGCTTCATTGGCACTCTTGGCAGGGTTCCAAATTGTTTATTTCTTGCCCACTCACTGTTCTTAGATCATAAGAATTTATAGTTTTCAAAACATCACAACAAAACTCTTTCCATTCATCTTTACAACTTCCCTAATCTGGTGTTTTCCAGTGAGCAAGGACTGCAGATCTGGCTCCCCTGCTCTTTGGGAAGCTGGGGAGCTTCACCTCTCAGGGAGCACACCAACTTGGGGAATTGTGCACCAGGATGCTATTGGGATCGATCAACATTATTATTAAGAGAGATTAAGCCTTGGATTCTTCAATATGCAGCAGTAGGTCTTGACTAGACCATGGCTTCTTGGAAGGGTGGTCAGTTCTACACTCCGAGGTCTGTCTGGAGAACACAGTCACTGCCAGTATGCTCTGACTCAAAGGATGGACTTGTAGCAAAATCTCAAATCCCCAGTACAACAAACTGCGATCGAGAATGGTTGGAAGCAAACATTGCATTAAGCCAGGGAGTCTCAAAGGTTGCAGGCAATGTTGAGGGGAATCTCACTCACTCCTGCTCTACTTGGACATGGGTGGCTTCCTCCATCTTCAACACTAAACACTGGCTGTCTAGTGTGGGACAATGGCTTGGATTTACACACTGAGTGAAGCTAAAATGTTCTCCTAGGCATTGTAGTTTAGAAGCCATGGTTTATGGCTTAGCATGTCATTCATATCCAGCCAAAAACAGTTCGTTGACACATCATGCTAATCCTGATCTATAACCATCTTTCTATTGTCCTGATAAAAGAGTAAAGACTGCCAAGTTAAGCTAGTATCGAGTATCTTGAAGTCACATGACCTTGTGGCTTCACGGACATGGACATGTCATTTCTTGCCAGAAGTACAGAAGTGGTTTGGCACTGCCTTCTTCCAGAATGGTTTTTCCCCCATTACTCAGTCTATCCCACAGCTCGGGTGTTTCCAGGTAGTCTTCCATCCAAGTATTACCCAGGTCCAGCCTGTCTTAGTTTCCAAGTCTGCACCTGCCGAATCATAGACTCATGGAGTTGGAAGGGACCACAAGCATTCAACCCTCTGCAAAGCAGCCACACCACCTGTGAAAAGGGGCTGTCCAGATTTCTTTTATAAACTTCCAGAGATGGAAAACCCATAACCTCCATAGGGAGACTGTTCCATTGTTGTACATATCTTACTGTCATGAAGTTTTCCCTTAGATTTAAACAAAATCTAGGTAGTTGTAACTTATATCCATTATTTTTGGTGCTAGTTTCTGTAGCAACGGAAAATAGCTCCTGAACATCTTCCCTATGGCAGTCTTTTATATGCCTAGACACTGATATCAAGCCTCCCTCAGTTTTCCTTTCTTCTGACTGAACATCCCAAGTTCCATCAGCCTGTCCTCATAGGGCATCTTCCCCAGTCCCTTTATAATCCTTGTTACCCTTCTCTGATACTGCTCTAACTTGTCAATATCCTTCTGAAAATGTGGTGCCCAAAATTGTACATGGTAATGCAGCTGTAGTGTCATCAGCCATCAGGGGAGAGGAATAAAGACTTCATGCTTCTTTGATACAATGGTTCTCCTAGAACCATACAGGTAGTCCTCGACTTATGAGCATTCATTTAACGACCGTTCAAAGTTATGATGGTGCTGAAAAAAATGACTTACGATCGGTCCTCGCACTTATGACCATCACAGCATCTCACGGTCATGTGATCAAAATTCAGGCCCTTGGCAACCAGCATGTATTTATGATGCTGCAGCATCCCAGGGTCATGTGATCACTATTTGTGACCTTCCCAGGGGCTTCCAACAAGCAAAGTCAATGGGGATAGCTCGATTCACTTAATGACCATGGCAAAAAAAGTTGTAAAATCAGACCCAACTCACTTAATGACCACATTGCTTAGCAATGGAAGCTCTGGTCCCAATTGTGGTCGTAAGTTGAGGACTACCTGTATCTGCCCTTTCCTTCACACCAGAGCACAGAATGGGTAAGACTTACTTGGAGCTCTCCAAGGTCCTGAATGATACTTCAGCAAGGGGTCTCTTGTTTTTCTTGACTTCCCCACTTTGTCAGCCTAGACTTGAATGATCTCCTTTGACCAGATCTTTTCTGCCAGAGTCAATGCCACTAATTTCCCTGGGGAACCTCAGGTATCCCTGGAAAGGGACAACTTGTGAACAATATCCCACCAATCATGGAGTGCAGGGTCCCAACTCACATCAACCAAGCGCAGGGTCCCAACTCACATCAACCAAGAGAGATAAGCAGAGATAGATTTTGAGCAGAAGGTAATAGATTTAGTAATGTTATAACTTAAAGAAAAATACAGCTTATCTCAACATAATAATAAAGTCTGCTATCTATTGATGGGTATCTTCAAAGCCTCCACTGCTTTCTCTTCTTGTTATTCTTTCTCTTTAAAGCAGGCTTGGAATAGACCTCCCTTCAAGTAGAGGACATTTTCTGACAAAAGATTGTCCTCTGTAAAGTAGCCTCTTGAACATTGAAAAAAGACACTTTGCCTCTCTCTTCAAAACCTACCTGTTCTTTGAAGCCCTTTTCTCGAGTCCTTAATTTTCATGCCCTAATGTAATGAAGGCTCCATTAGATGTTTTGTTATAACATCGAACTTGTATTCTTCCCTTGTTTATCCCAACCTTCTTTCCCTTCCATTTTTCTCTTGCCTTCTCTGTGTTGTTTTCTAGGTTGCAAGCTTTTTGGGAAGGTTAGGGGCATATCTCTTCATATGTATAATGTTAGAAAACAATAATCAGTAAGAGTATGCCCTTCTTTAAAATGTGACATAGTTCAGTGAAGATTTACCATTTGGCAAGTATCAGTTTTTCAGGCAACATCCCACTTGTTATCTGCATTCTTATTCCAATCTACAAGAATAATGCCAGGAACCAATCAAGCTTTTAAAACCCTCTTTGATGAATACAGCTATAAAATTATATAGTGTATAGTGTACTTGCCAAGTTGGTGATTTATGTTGCTTTTGAGTTTTTCAAGGTGCAAACAGGCTGAAAAGTCAGCTGTTCTGTCTCAGATGTGGCCTTATAGCAGATGAGACCAGTACAGCTCACTCTGACTGGCAGCAGCCTTCAGAGGTTTTTCTTCTCCTTTGTTACCTGAAATGTAGAGACGTAGAGATGATATTGGTCACATTTTTAGTGAGCTATGGTGGAGCCAGGATGGGGCAGTGATACCATTGTGGTTCTCCTTGATCTCTCAGCAGCTTTGGATGCCTTCACTCATAGTATCCTTCTGCACCAGTTGTGGCAACAGGAATGGGAGTGGTTCTCTTCCTTTCTCCAAGGCTGCTGCCGGTCAACATTGGGAAGCAGAGAGATCAAATCTGAGGGCCCTGCTTTGTGGAATGCCACAGAGCTTAATACCTTTGTCTCTCCTGTGGTTGCTGTTGTTGTTTCATATTTTACTGTTTAATCACTACATGAGGCCACTGGGGGAGGTCTGGGATCAGGTATCAGCAGTATGTGCAGATGATACTCAGTTGGACATCTGAACTCCTGACTGGCCAAGTGATGCGGTGGAGGTCTTGCAGGTGGCAGCTGTGGCCAGGAAGGCCTTCACACAGGTTCAGCTTGTGCAGCAGCCACACTCCTTCCTGCATGGAGAAGCTCTCCTTACAGTCACTCATGCCATAGTCCCTTTGGAAGCGGACTCCTGCAACACACTCTGCATGGAGCTGTCCTTGAAGACCACTCTGAAGCTACAGCTGGTCAACAAAGTGGTGGCATGAGCAGCGATAGGCAGGCCTCACTCTGCTCATGTCAGAACCCTGCTGTGTGAACTGTGTGATTATCAGTTGGCTTCCAAGTTCAATACAAGGTGTTGGTTACCACCTCTGAAGCCCTACTTGGCACAGCTCCTAGCTACTTGAGGGACCACCTGTTTCCAACGCTGTCTCCCCATCCTGTGAGCTCCAACGGAGTTGTCTTGCTTTGGGCCCCATCAATTGTCTTGCTTTGGGCCCCATCAATCAGACAGTGTCATCTACCAGGGCCCAGGAGGGGGGCCTTCTCTGTTGCAGCACCAGCCCTTTGGAAGGGGCATCTCCCCAGAGATTCATATGGCCCTCCCCACCGTACCCACCTCCAAGCTTTCTTTAAAAGCCCAGCTTTTCCGTGGGGTCTTGGGTTGGGAGAAGCCCTTTAAGGGAGGGAGGGAAGGAAGGCAGCTTCTGCACGCTCAGAGGTGGTTGCTGTTTTTAGGGAACTGTTGCTCTTTTAACTTTGTGAAGCCACATTTTGGAGTTGGGTTGGGTGGCCTGGAAATTTATATATTTAAACAAACAAGCAAACAGTAATCAGTGTGCTACTGTTGAGCTGTGGTCTTACAGACCATGTTTTTAGTCTTACTTGTTTGGTTCATTAAAGGATATTTATATTCTGCTTTTGTGCATTTTAAAGCCTCCTTGGATTCCAGATTAAAGATAGTTATGAACCACACTGAAAATGGCAATTTGATCAGCTTACTGGCAGAGGCACCCACAGAGGCCCACATGTCTTCGGCCCCTCCCTTACTGCCAGCCTCCTGAATGTTAAAATGTGTTTTAGATTATTTTAATTTAAGAGGAAAGTTAAATGGGAAGCTAGTCTGCTCCATGGGAAAATAACAACTTCCTACAGCACCTTTTTTTTCCAGGAAAGATGCTGGGGCCACTGAGCCTCCAAGGTGTTCTTCAAAAATTACTTCATGCCTGCAGACTAGCACTTTATTTGGAAGCCTGCAGGGGTGCCCACAGGGGGTCAAAAGAGTCAAGATGGCAGCCATGACCGCACAACTGACACTCCATCCCTTGTTTACATGCAACATGAATCACATAGAAAAGGGGTGGGGCTTCAATCTTGCGGTTGCAGTTGCCACCTTGACTTTTTTGACCTCCCCTTTGCAGACACCTCTAAAAATATGCCACCTACTTGGCGGGGGGGGGGGGGTAAGGCAACAGGGACCTTTGTAATCTCATCAGTTAATAAATGGGAGTTTTGTGCCTGGTATGCTCCATCTTGGCCTCCATTTTGTGAGTGTGTCTCCAAATTCTAAATGTCTGCTGGCCAAGCAAGGCTAAGCAGTCCCGGATGGCTGTTTATTGAGGGAACCCTGAAAAATCAGGATTGTCTAGCCTCTTTTCTCTCTGGCATTATTTAGGTTTATTTTTAATGTTACATCCTGCCTTTCTTTTGCTTCTGAAAAGAAAAACAGCTTTTTCGGCAGGCAGCGAAGAATGACCTTTTTTCAAAACAGTTAGAACAATCATAGCTCAGATCTTCCAGGTCCCAAAACCGCCACGTCACAGGAGAAGAAAGGATCGGTTTGGGGGTGTTCCTAGTGGGTTTCCAGTTTTGTTACTTACCCACCTGGTGAAGCTGGTAGGAAAACAAATATTGAAGACAGTTCCAGTGTGGTGCAGTGTGTAAGTCCAGGATCTGATAGGAAATGAAGGACACGTGATTCTCCTGTTCTTGGAAGACCCTCTTTTGGGGCTTCACTTGGACCATGCCAAAGCCATGCTGAAGCTCTTTCATTAGCAGTCTTCTCCACCAGCAGGCTAGGCTTATGTTTGACTCAGCTCCAAATATAAAGCACAGCTGAAATGAGAGAGCAGAATGCTGCATTCAGTCTGGAATCCATTCAAAACCGAGATCCGATGATAACGTGGGGAACTTCCAAGGGAACACCATCTGTCCTTCTTCAGAGTCCTACCCGTGAGTGCGAAAGGGTATTAAATGGACCATTTTGGGCTCAACGTTCAGGTTCCTCTTCAGAAGTGAAATATTGCCCACAGTTTCTGTTTAAAATAAGTTTCAAGGGAGAAATACGAAAAAGAATACTTCATTGCTAAACAAAAATAAATGAAAAACCCAAACCAAATAAAAACAAAACATGGCTATCACCACGTTTCTGACCCCTCCACTGCTTATTTGGCTTCAAAAGGGCAGAGAAAATAATTCAGTAACTCAAGATCAATTTGAGGGATATCTCTATGCATTGACCCTGCTCCCTACTATTATCTTTTTTGCAATTTACTTTTTAGAAAAGGAGGACAATTGTATCATTAGTATTCCAAGACTGCTGCTACTTTTGGAAGATCTGAGAAACAAAGAATTGCCTTGCCTTTCTTACTGCATGCACTTTCCGAAGCTACCTCCCATCCTTCGTTTCAACATTCTCTTTTCAAGAAGCACAGAAGCCATTTTTCCCATTAATTATGGTGTCCTTCCAGGCTGCCTGTATGGGCTGACAGCTGGGGACATGGTGCTATGGTGGGTTTGCTCCTTCCTGAATCAGAGGAGGTGGGGAGAAAATCTCTACTTCTGGTTGTTCCAGTGGTCCCTCCTGTTGTTTAACATTTACATGTAGCTGCTGGGAGAGGGTCATCCATTGGTTCAGTGTGAGATATCATCACTACGCTGATAATACCCAGACATACATCTCCATTCCAGGCCTGGCAGGAGATAAAATAGAAGTCCTGGCCCAAAACCTGCAGGCTGTAGAATTTGGATGGGGAAAATCAGATTGAAGTTGAATCCCAGAAGACTGAACTACTATTTGTTCAGTAACCATCTGATGATCTCCTCTAGTTGTGTCTGGATGGGGAAACAGTCCCCCGAAAGAGCTGGTTGGTGACATGGAGGTCCTCCTAGGGTCACTCAATGGCCAGTGGAGGTCATGGCTACAGGAGTCTGCTCAGCATTGCCTGGTGCATCAGTGGCAGTCCTTCCTGCAGAAGGAGGAAGGACTCTTGTTCATGCCACTTCCCAGTTAGATTGCTACAATGCACTCAATGTGGGGCTGCCCTTGAACACTCCTCAGAAGTTGCAATTGGTGCAAAATGCAACCCACCCACCCCCGTTGATAGGTGAGAGCTGTTCCTGAACCTAACACTGCTGCTGCAGACCCTGGATTGGTTACCAATAGCCTTATAGGGGCAATTCAAAGAGCTGGTTTTGGCCTATAAGCTCTATATGGCTCGGCACCCTGATTCCTTCAAGTGGGCTCCTTCCCTACAGGAGATTCAAAGGACAATGAGAAATATGGGTTTCTTTGTAGTCACACCTATCCTTTGGAAGAGCTTCCCATGGGAGATTCAGATAGCACCTTCACTCCTATAGGAAAGCAGTCAGAATTGAGCTGTTCAGCTCTTGGATGGGAAAGCCTGTGGAGGACACAGTTGGTGGGGCCTGGGAAGGGATCTACTGAAGGCTGAAGGCTGACCTAGTCCTCACAATAAGAATTTCCACATTGGAAGGGCACCTAGTTGGAGAAGGCTGGAGAAGTCAAGATTCAACGAGGGCCATGAAATGACCTGCTGTGGGGAGCATTGAAGGATGGAAGGGTGAAGAATAACTGAAGGCAGGATGGTGAAGCAGGTCTCCTTAAACAAGGGGGGAAAAAGACAAGAAAAAAAAATATGGTAAAGCAGGTCTCCTTAAACAATTGTCCCTTGCAGAATGGCAAGTTGGGGAGGGGGACATTTATACTGTATTCCACTTCAATTCAGACAGTCAAATTTCAAGCATCCATCGAGAGGTCTGTGAGACCTGCACCCACAAAGCTTCCATATTTCTACCTACAGAAGCTCAGCGTCCACTTCATATGGTGTTTGGCCTCAACCAAAGTGCCCCCTCTGCACCCCTTCCTGTGTTAAAGTCCACGCTTTTGGGTTTGCCTGGAAACTCACCGGATGCAGCACGCAGGTGCCTGGAGAAGAAAGGAGGAGGTGAAGGGACTTTGTTTTTGCTGCAGATCCCGGACTCAGCAAGGCCAAATAACATGTTGCTGACGTGAGGAGCAGCTTCCAGGCCCCGTCAGCTGCGTCCTCAACCGGCTTTCCCATCCAAGAGCCGCGTTCTTTGAGGCAGAAGCTGGCTGAGAAAGGAAGGAAGAAAACAGCAAAACGGTTGGAGGGACGGGGGAGAAGGGAGCTGGTTTTCTCCCCCACCAGCCGGAAAGATTTCCAGAATAGAAATTCAGACTTGAATGAAAGTCCACGTTTCAGCGACTAAGGGAGGCAGGAAGGTCAGACCCAAATCTCCACCCCCATTATTCACCAGGCTCAGCATTCTTCTAACTTTTAAAACAAAAAAAAGTTGGCCCATTATAAGCCTGACAGGAAATCTTACAACTCTCCTATATGGTAGGGTTGGGGGATTTATGACTGGTAGTCCTATTGTTGACAGGTGAACCAGGAACTAGAACATTTAACTTGGATATTAACTGAGGGACAAACTATAGTCAAGTCATGTTTTTTTGGTCTATCCCAGCCTCTTCTCTGAGCTAGATCTGTTGAGAGACACGTCCAGAGTATTTGGATGTTACCAAAATGGACTGTGCTGCCCTATGGAGAGAGGACTAGGACATGAATAAGGATTTTACAAAAAATCTGGAGTCTGGTAGCACCTTTTCCGACTAACCAATCTTATTAAAAGGCACAACCTTTTATGAGCTGTAGCTATGTTGTGCATCTGGTGAGGTGAGCTGTGGCTCACAAATTTTGTCTCTTTTAACAAAATTGGATAGTTGGAAAAGGTGCTACCAGACTCCTCCTTAATATTCTTGAACTTCATGATACTCTTGATGTTCGTGTAATGTCCACCTAGGTTCTGATACTGTGATGGAGTGAGCCAGCGTCTGCCTTTTCATGAAATGTGTTATTCAGAAAAGGTGCTATCAAACTCCTCCGCGGTTTTTGCCCCCCTAACGAACACGGCTCTCCTCCTGTAATGATTTTACCAAAGGTATTGTTTGTCTGAAGCGTTGGGAAGAGTGTTTCAAGTATTTGAAGGGAAGGGATAGTGACCAGCTTGTCACCCAGTTCAAAGTCAGCAGTGCCACCTGACCAGAAGAGCAGATCAAAATCGATAAATAAACGAGTGCATCTTCTTTGGCTACAAATGGGACGCATTTGGATGGCACCAGCCAAACTTCAGAAATGGGAGCAGCACCGAGCCGGCTCTGTCGTTAGGTGGACTTAGGCAATCAAGTCAGGAAATGGAGCTTGGAGGCCATGGTGGTGGTGACCACTCCCGGCTACCCTTCTCAGCTCATTCCCTTTCCTGACAGGGGTGTCAGCAAGGGGAGGGTATCAAGGTGGCAGTGACAACTGTGCAATCAAAGCTGCCATTTTATTTATGTATTTGTTTGTTTGTTTATTTATATATCAAATTTGTCACCGCCTATCTCATTGAAACGACTCTGGGCGGTTTACAAAACAGTGAAAATCGATTAAAATTACAATATACGATCATCTTAATAAACATTTGACATTTGTTGACGACAGTGTAGAAAACCACATAAATGATCTAGGGTAGGAATGCAATGGCAGTTAGCAAAACATGAATTAAGCCTGGGAAAGGATGAATTGTGTAAGAAAGGAACTTAATGTTGCCCCACCTTGACTCTCCTTGGTATAAGAGGGAGGGAAAGAATGACATGGTCACGCTTTCAAGATTCAGTTAGTAAATTCTATTTCAATAAAGTAGAGTTCCAGTCATTCTTGTGGGGTCTGTTTCCTGACCTGACCTACCTTGAAATGCTGACATCCCCACCACCACCACCATGGATACCCCTGCCTTGGGGAAACAAAACTACTTATATGAAACAGTGGCTGGGTTTGGCTAGATGAAGCTATACTATCGTTGGGTGGCTTGTGGTTCAGTGCATTGTGGAAACTCATTCGTTTCCTTTGCATGTCTTGTGGACAGGTGTTGTGATGGAATGTATCTATGAGGAGGAGGGTGATGTGGGAGATCAAGGCTATCAGGAAGGAGAGGGCGCATTCCAGGAAGGGCAAGGAAAAAAAAGACAACACAGTCTGGAGCAGGAGCACGGGAAGCATAAGAGGTTCGGGATAGCCACTCCCTAGAATCTCCCAGGGTATACCCACTAGTTGCAGTAGTATAGATTTAGTCTGGCAAGATTCTGTCTATATGGTGTGAGAAAATAAAGGAACTATACTAGACTGGACTGTTTCATCATTGTTCTTGGGCTGGGCCTGACAGGTGTCAGTCTTCAAGGTAGATCAGACTAGGAATCAAAAGTAGGTCAGTCCTACTTTTACTGTAAAGCTATAGTAACAGAATCTCGCAAGTCTGAATGTGCTTCCCCCCTCCCTCCCTTTATTTTCGTGAGAACTAGGGAGGGTCTGGTCTGAGACGTTTTCTCAGGTTACATTCCTACCCCAGACTCGGTCCTCTTTTATCTGACCGTTGGCTTGGTAGTAACTTCCTCCTGTCCCTCCAGGCCATTCCCTCTTCCCTAGTGTCATTCCCTCTGACCTAGTACAGTGGCAGTTGTTTGAGCCTCAAATGAACCCCCCCATTGTGTTTTGCTAACTTTTAGGGTTTACCAGGCCAACTGAGCCCACCTTTAAGGTTGCTGACCAGCCTGGGTGAATCGCCCTGGAGTTGAGAATCTCATGTTTTGGGAAACTGTAAAAATGTAAGCCATTTCCCAATCCCCATCCCCCACCCCACTTCCACTCT